CCTGGGCCTCTTCTTCCTCCATACTACTTCACCTGATGAAAATAAATCAGTTTCCATAGATTCAATGATCACTTCTATGCCAATTCCCAAATTTACTTATCCAGTTCTAACCCATTAACCCTCGGACTCACATCTCCAAATGCCTATTAGACTTGAACTAGATGTCCTGTGGACATCATTAACTCAAAATATTTAAAACTGAACTCATTATCTTCCCCCCTAAACCCTTCCCTCTTCCAAAGTTCCCTATGATTGTCAAGGGCACCAACATCCTCAATCACTGAGGCTAGCAACCTAGGTGTCACCTTCAACCCCTCATTCTCCCACCCCCCATATTCAACCTGTTGCCAAGGCCTACTGATTTACTTTTGTAATATCTCTGGTATATATCGCTTTTATAACCCTACCTTTCCAGTTTTCTTACACCTTACACCAAGGTGGGGACCTGTGGCCTCAAGGCCATATATGGCCCTCTAGGTTCTCAAGTACTGCCCTTTGACTGAATCCAAACTTCACAGAACAAATCCCTTTAATTAAAGAATTTGTTCTGTAAAACTTGGACTCAGTCAAAAGGCCTCACCCAAGGACCTAGAAGGTCACATGTGGCCTGGAGGCCATAGGCTTCCTGGCCCTTCCTTACACCTTCCACAAATTCTTTGATCTAGTAACATTGATCTCTTTGCTATTCTTTGAACAAGACACTATTTTGACATGCCAGGCATTTTCACTGGCTGTTTCCCATGCCTCAACTCTACCTTTTGGTTTCCCTGGCTTCCTTCATGTCTCAGCTAAAACTCCACTTTCTACAGGAAGCCTTTCTCAATCCCTCAATACTAGTAGCTTCCTTCTGTTGATTACTTCCAATCTATCCAGTATATAGCTTGTTAGTTTATAATTGTTTGCATGCTGCCTCCCCCATTAGATTGTAAACTTAAGAGCAGAAACTTACCTTTCTATGTATCATCAGTAGACTGGTGAATAGTAAATGGTTAATAAACGTTATTGACTGCCACAACAAATACCTTGAAAAAATATCCTTTTAAGATACACACTGTGAAATTTGAGAAATACTGCAAACTATCTAAATCTCACAATGATTGTTTTCACAATGTATTTTCTATAGCAATAGGTAATTTAAGTTAGAACCCAACTTGGATATTAGGTCCTCCAAGAAACCTTCACTTGAAACAACTTATCCTTCTCAAACTTCTTCTCTCATCCCATGTATCACTGAACTTTGCTGAGCTCTTTTCATTTAACTGCATTCCCCCCTGAAATGATCATTTTGTGTGACCTTCCCCTCACTGTATTCATTAGACTCCCTGAGATCTTTGTATTCCCACTGCCAAGCATGGGACCTTTCACATAGCATATGCTGTTTTTTGAACTGTATTTAAGTATAGAATCTCAGATTCAGAAGATGACTTTGGACATCCAAAGCCCTTCATTTTACAGGTGAAAGAATTTAGAACCAGAGAGATAACACAACAGAAGTCAAGTACCACAGCAGCAAAGCTAAGATCAGAACCCAGGCCAGTGGTGCTTTCAGGTTGTATTTTATTTTCAGTCAAGTATCTTGGATGTCCTCGACGATAGTGGACCCAAAACAATAGGGAAATATTTACCTTTAGGTGTTGGTAAGGAGCAGAATAACTGCAAACTAAGATTTAATCTCAGTATTAGTACTTGGAGATTAAAATATATGCTTTTTAGATGCCCAGGGTAGTTTTAAACAAATGGCATTCTCATAAATTTTTTATGGCTACTTTCCAGGCATCAACCATTCCTGCTCCAGAGTATATAACTTTGAAGGGCTGTTCATTCAGTACTGTTCCCAAAGAGTTTTCTCCTGACCAAGGTGTTCAGATTGCTACTTGTAATTCCAAAATGATAATAGTCAGTCAATAAGTATTTATTAATGCTTAGTGTCTCTTATCAAAGCCGATGTCACTGGATTAAAGAATATGTGGAAGGGTAGAGAGTGTAAAGTGTAAGAATACTGAAATGGTAAGAGAAAGCAAGTTTTGAAGGGCTTTGGATGTCAGGATTTTATATTTGTTCCTGGAAACAATAGGAAGCCATTGGAGTTTGGGGGGAGAGGGAGCAGCAGGGAAGGATATGTGCATATACATGTGTGTGTGTGTGTGTGTGTGTGTGTGTGTGTGTGTGTGAGAGAGAGAGAGAGAGAGAGACAGACAGACAGAAAGAGGGAGAGATGTGGTTAGATCTTTGGTTTAGGAAAATCACTTTAGCAGCTAAATGGATGATGGAATGAAGTGGAGAGACTTGAGTCAGGGAAACACATCAGCAGGCTATTGCAATAGTCCAGGAGTGAGGTGATGCACCTGCATGGGAATGGCTACAGATATGGCAGGAGTAGGGTGTGAGAGATAATGGTACTGGAGCCTCTGATTTCATTGGCATAGAAAATTACCTCTACCAATGCAGGCTGGCACCTTCTCTGCTACTTATATTCTTAGAAAGTTGCCTAGACTACTGAGAAGTTAAGTGATTTGCTCAGGGTTACAGAGCCAGTATGTTATCAGAGGTGGGACTACAACATAGGTCTTCCTGGCTTCAAGGCCAGCTCTCTATCCTGAGCCGTGATCTATCTCATTCACCACAGAAGGGGAGTTTAAGAAATACTCCGACATTTCACAGAAATTTATATGTCTTATCTATGCCTACACACATTCTACTACTGATGAAGCAGGGAGATTCACTCAAACAACTGCATCTATTTCTCTTTGCTTTATTGTAATGCTCATTTAAAGGATGACATGGCAGTTTAAGTCCAATACCATTTTTATAGAACAGAATAACCAGTCACTTAAATTTCCAAATCCTTAAAACACCACAAAAACAGGCCAAGAAAATTAAAGCTACAGTCTCCCCTTCTCTTGGATAGCATGCTATAAAATTATCTGCAACTAACACAGAGAAGGAACTGTTTTCTTTAATATACAATGAAGGTCACATTTGACCACTCTATTACAGCATTCTGGAAACTGGTTTTGGAATCCACTTTCTGATTAATACTAGGAATTCCTTCAAACTTTCCCCTAGAGGAACAATTCAAGTTTGAAAGTGAGGTGTTAATCTCAAAAAGGGAGACTGCACCTTAAAATTTTACTTCCTGGATTAGATAAGAAGAAAGGCAAATTCATTCACACTTATTAAGATATTACACAATTATTACAATCATAACATAAATTCTTCACCTACCAGAGGAATGTCACAAAGTCTGGACTGGAAAAAAAAAAGCAGTGTTATCCTTGAGACTAAAAGATGGGGGAAAATAAAAACCAAACAACTTTGTAAAATTCAAGAGCTAAGACAAAACAACAGCAACAAAAAGCTAAAGCCAATTTTAAAAGGCTAGGGAGGGTCTTCTACAGTATTCTGGTTTGGGAACACTGGAAGACAGATGTACCACACCTGGTGGCTCAATTACTTGAACTGCTCCAGAGTTTGTTCTTTCTCCAAGATGCCACCAGAGAGTCGCTACCTATGACTTCAAAGTATACAGGTTAGTCCCTATAGACTAACATTCACCTAATATAAAAGTCTTTTTTTTTTTTGGCTAGGCAATGGGGTTAAGTGACTTGCCCAGGGTCACACAGCTAGTAAGTGTTATGTGTCTGAGGCTGAATTTGAACTCAGGTCCTCCTGAATCCAGGGCCGGCGCTCTATCCACTGCGCCACCTAACTGCCCTGTAACATAAAATTCTTCTTGACTTCCTTTTAACTGTAATTTATCATCTCAGCTTAATATACCGATTATGGTTTTGTGGAGAACAGATGCCAAACAAGCAGGAAGTGTCTTCATATCACCACTGGACTGGTATCAAGATGGCCCATGAACCCCTCATAACCCCCTAATCCAAAAGAGCAAGAGATATTAATCAGAGCAAATGATTCCCCTGAAGAATGTAACATCCCTACTAGGCACTGGAATAGAATTATGACCTATTTCACCCAGGTCATTAAAAAGATTTCCAATGGCAAAGGCTTCTCAATGTCTATCAAGAGGTTATTCTTCTCCCAAACTATTACTCCATTTGGAGAGAAGAATTTGAGTTTCACCCTGTTTTAAAAACACACACAAATTCCTAAACTGAAAGTTGTCTTGTTTTTATTACTGGCCTACTCATACACTCCTTTGAAATGCTATTTGAACCAACTATAGCAATACTTGGTGACTGTCACCCACACCTCCTGGAGCGTTGAGCCTCAGGAATATTTTTCTTCTAGAAAAACTTCACTTTCATCAAGTTGTGCTTCACTGAGATATGGGCTAAAAATATTCCACTTCACGAACTGAATTAGACTTACATAAATCCTAGAAACATGAAATAGTTACTGATGGGCCTAAATATTAACATAAGCACAAAACGACAAAGAAATGGAATGTTAAAACAAAAAGAACATGCAAAAGATTTTTGCTCATCTAAAAGTCTACCTTGATATGGGGAGGTGATTGATAAAATCCAATAATAAGAAAGCATACAGAAAGTCAAAATGGCCATGGATCATTTGAGGTGATGGATGATTTCAAAAATTAGATGACCCAATCCATTGAGTGACTTCTATTCACATAAATACTGCTACCATCATACAATATATATACCGCTAGTCAAGAAAGAGGGAGGAAAATACTTCATATTTAAGTTAGACAACAAGGCTTTCAGGTTACATGCACTACTGTTTCAAAAATCTGCAGATGATAAGTGATAAAGAGGTAAAAGTTGATGCAAAAAGATTAACGGACAATCAACCAAATTATTTCATGTTAACATGCACTTAAACTGTGGAGTCTTCCAAACAAAATGACAGGATGGATGAAAAAAGTCTAGGCATTCCTAAAAGAGCAAAGAATCTTGGCCATCATGACAGAAATTCCTATCATCAAAATACAGATCTGTTTTGTTAAGATCTATTTTGTTCCTTGTCTAAAAGAGGTCTCCATGTAGAAGACTACAGAGGCGGTGGAAAGAAGGTTTCAGTTAAACTAGTATATTTAAACCAAATAAAACTCCCATATGGACAAGCAAAAATAGCTCACTAGAAGATTCGGTAACTGCAGACATAGAGAAGACACTTATAAAAGGAAAGATAGCAGAATAAAAGAAAATAAAACATCAAAATCAAAACATCAGAGTTAAATGTTAATTTGAAATAGGGGAAAATGGTGTAGTGACAGCAATGGCATCAATTTCAAATACGCAAAGTATGATTTTTCCATCTTCAAAACCTGACACTGCCTAAGTGACCAAGATCCAGTACAATTATGATATGAAAGGAATGCCCCTCCCACCCCCACTCCCCAAAAAAGGAATCCTTCTTTGTGGTTTTTGACCAAAATTTTCAATACCAAAGAGTTAACATGAACAAACTTGTGTAGATAATAAATATCACCCCTTTTGGGAGTGTAAAAGTTCTATGAAAGTCAGTCAAAGGTTTAAAAGGGTGTCACATTTTCTGAGGAGGATTTTCATCCATGGCACCATGATTTGAGGTTTACGTGAGCTCCAAAACTTATTTTAAAAAAGCTATATTAACACTGAAACAGCAAAGAAAATTTGTAGGATGCCTAGAGAAAAGCACAGTGACATATTTGGAACAGTAAAAATCCACTTCTCTGGTACATTTCCCTATAAAATTATTCTTCTGGGCAATTTTGTTATAACCATAGTCAGAATTAAATTTTAATGCTCACTACACTGATGAACTACAGCACTAGCATGAAACAATAAAAACGGAATCCTTTTCTTAGGTATAACCCAGAGCAAGCAGGTAGGAAGCAAAAGAAAGCAGAAATTATTCTAATGACTAGCTTTACAACAAATAAAGTAAAACTAGATTTGGAGAGCCAGAATGGAGATTAAAAATAACATTTACATTTGGATCCAAAGTGGTTTGCCACTTTATTTAATGGTTTCTTATTTTCACTCCTTTCATTTTGATATTGTCCCAGCTGCATTCCTTTATGGTATAAACACAGATTTAAAGTTCAAATGCAGGGATGTGACAGTGGTAAAGAGACCTCAAAACAGCTACTGCGAGAAATGCTAAGGAAAAAGTTACTAATTAGAGTATTCATGTTAGCAAGTTAGAGTAGAAAGATAAAAAGGAATAGCAGAAGAGTATTCTTTTGTAATAATGTTTTAAGTTAAGCTTTGCATTATAAATATTATCAACCTGAGGGATTTGAACAGTGGGCATATAGATCTGAAATGGTTGACAAACAGAGAAAAGGCAATAGTGACTATGTGGACATCCAAATCCTTTGGCAGGATGGCCAAAGGTCAGTGTTGTCATGATATTGCTTTCTGTATTTTTCAGCTTTCCAACTCTAGGAATTCTTTCTAGAGAACAATGAAAAAAAAAATCAAAACCCTTTAAACTTAAAAGGCATTTCAATTTAAAAAGACATTTCATAGAAGATCAAAAACATTTCACATAATTTCATTCAGTCCTAACAATTCAGGAAGATGTTTTATTTAGTGTCATTCCAATGAATGTCTTTCATTCTGCATTCAAAGAACTGTAGTTCCTTCTGTTGCCCCTTGACGAATCATCCTGTCCTGGACTCTCTCTAATACATCATTAGAATGAAGGCTGCACAAGAAATTCTAGAAAAATTGCACATGCAGTACAGGGCCACAAGAAAGTGCTTGCACTTTTGAACTGGATGTTTCTGGGGCAAGACACCTGAAGAAAGTCATCTGGCTTCAAACAGTGGCCCAGAAGAGCACAGGTGCCTGCAAAGAGCTTTGATGACTGGAGAGTAATGGCCGTGCTGAATCACCTAAGGAATCTCACTTTGCTTCGTGGTTTATTTTGTCTCAGGTAAAACGGACATCAGGAGAAATGAAGATTAAGCATAAGATGACCTGTAACCATCAGGGGATTTCTCTCCACCAGCAGCCAAGGCTGTGTCTACCAGTTCTGGTTATCCCACCCTTCTTCGGAGGATGCTGCTGCTTTGGCTGCCTTCTTCGGGGCCTTAGTAGTTTTGCCCTCCCCTCCAGCACTTTCCCAGTTGGTTTCCCAGTTCTCCCAGCTGTCGCTGTTATTACTGTTTTTGTTGTTGGAGACTGTTCCTGAGCCCCAGATATCCCAGCTATCTGAGCTCTTCTTCTCTGTGGAATTGTCTGCATATGTCCAGCTGTCACTGCTAGGTGATTTATGGGTCTTGGGAAGATCTGAGTTTCCAAAAGTTTCCCAGAAATTCTGATCTATAGCACTGTTCTGATAGTGTCCTCCTCCACTGTTCTGGTAACTATCACCCTCAGGTGGTCTTTTAAAGAGAAAGAAGGAGGAAAAAAAAGCCTAAATACCATTTTTTGAAAATTAGCAACTTAAACACACCAGCATTTCACATAACTTTTAGGTCTTACCTAATTATTATGACCTCCTAAGAAAATACTTTTACTAAGAGATGGCACATTAAACAAATGGTTGGGAAAAAGAATGCTCTAGTTAATTGAAAATTATTATGTATGCCATATGGTGATCAGCAATTTTCACAGAACAGGCTATAACACTAAATATGTTTTTCAACCTTTTTTTTTTAAGGCAATTGGGGTTAAATGACTTGCCCAGGGTCACACAGCTAGTAAGTGTCAAGTGTTTGGTCTGAGGCCGATTGAACTCAGGTCCTCCTGACTTCAGGGCCGGTGCTCTATCTACTGTGCCACCTACATGCCCCTTTTACAACCTTTTAAAAAAAGATTTAGAAACCATTTCAAAATCTTTCAGTACGCCAAGGTCATTGTTCTAAACTTCAATTATTATAAATACCACTACAAACAAATATTCTGGCTATATGAGTTTTTCAGTTAAAAAAAGTCAGTGTTCATATTTTGAAAGAAAAATTATAAACCACATGTTGGGTTGGAACTAAAATCAAGACCTTTAACCTTAAATTTTGCCATTTTAGAAGAAAAGAACTAGAAATGACTCTCGAGGTCTTTTCCATAAAGTCCTGAGCTCTGCACAAAAAGCACAACCTCAGATGGGCTAGAATACATAGGCAAAGTTGGTATTCAATTTTTGCATGGTTGCCTTTCTTCTTTCCAAAACAAACACACAGAACAAGTCTAAATCAAACTCTTTTGCAGTGTGAAGTGCTTTGCAGTTGATCATTTACTTGCCCATTTCAGTTATAAAGTATTTTTAAAAAATACACACAGCAAGTTTTTGAAGAAAGTGAACTTAACATTCCATATAATTTATAAAGGGAGCTCTTGTTCAGAGCGCAGCAATCTGACCAACAGTATTACCTCCTGTTCTGGATTCTCAGCAATCATCAGTCTGGATCATACTTTTACATTTGAAATATAATTTTTGACAAATTTCAGTATGTCTTTGGAATATCAAAGGCAAAAGAAAAAAAAAGGCAGCCAAGTTGGGTATTCCAGCTACAAAGCTTAAGAAAATTCGGGGGCAGCTAGGTGGCACAGTGGATAGAGCACTGGCCCTGAAGTCAGGAGAACCTGAGTTCAAATCCGGCCTCAGACCAAACACTTGATGCTTACTAGCTGTATGACCCTGGGCAAGTCACTTAAATCCAACTGCCTAAAAGCAAAAAAAAAAAAAATTCTAGTACATGTGCACAAACAGCTCTCTTTATACAAGGAAGTATTTGTTTTTGATAGAAATATTTATTGTGCATTCTTGCAAAGGTACTAAACCAAGATGCAGAGGACCTCAGTTACCTCTATGCCCTGAATTTTTTTTTAACTTTGGAATCTGTCTTGACCACTCCGTTGTTTACAGATTGTCTGTTATCTTTCTTTGTATTCCTAGTACTTGGCACAGTGCCTGGCACACAGTAGGCAAATTAATGAATAAATGCTATTGACTGACTAAAACAGAAAGACATAAAGAAGCAAAATACAAAGAACATTAAAAATCAAATAGCAAATAATATTCTTCTCCTTGTACATCTTCAAGCAAAGGCTAGATGACCACTTATTGGGCATGTTAATGAGGACTCCTTTTGTGTTTGGCTTAAACTAGATGGTCACTAAGATCCTTTCCAAATCTAAGTCTGTGATTGTGTGAAATGTATTTGTGGACTCTATATTAAATTATTTAATTTGCAAGTATTTATTTCTTCAGTAATTCAAAACATTCATAACTTCCTTAGTATAAGTGTCACTATCAGTGAAATAAATTTAAACCCTTCCACATCTTCGTAGATATTTGGCTCCCATGAGTTTCTGCAGCTAAAAATAAAAAATCACCACCTGGCAGCCAATCTTCTGGTGATAAGCCTTGCTGTACTTAGCTAGAATGATCTTCAGATAACAGACACATATAGCTTGTAGCTTTCCCAGCTTACTAGGAACTGCCACAGCTTGTACTCCACTGGTATAGTCTTTCAAGAATCCAGAGTCACCCTCATGCCAGTGAAATATTGGAAGACTTTAAAAGAGGAGACAATCTTAATATTCTTAAGAAATTACCTATGTGAAGGACAAAATTAACAAAGAAAATAAAAAGAGGCAGAAGAGAGAGAAGCATACCTCTCTGAGGGCTCATCTGTTTTTCCTGAAAAGAAGGTTGTGACATCTCTCCATCCTTTACTGCCAACCCCCTGAACCTGGAAGCAATAACAGACTTTGTCATGCCTAAACCCCTCTTGAACATTACATGAACTCAGATTTTAATTAATGCAATAATGTTTAATAATCAGAAAAAAATAAACCCTAAACAAAAAACAGTGAATAGAATAATGTACAAAATGTATTTCAGATCTTTTTGTTTTCTTACTTTTGAGCACTTTCACATTGTCCTTAACATCAATCAGTATCATCACCCAATATTTACTAATGATTGCTACAGCACTGAACTGGGGATGAGGGTAGATTCTACCCTTGAAATTTTCACATACTGATGATAAACTAAAACCAAAAATCTTCCAAAGTTTGAAATTTAGTCAAATAATTTATAAGACTAACATCACATGAAATTTACTCAGCTGTTTCAAAAGATAAAAGCACAGAAACTCTCTTTAAAAGTAGCATACTTACAAAGTAAACTCCCTTTCATCTAGAATTTGAGATCACCAAAAGTTCAAGTAATCATTATTTATTTTATATACTACAGTACAATGAAAATGTTCATTATTATGTGCCCTGATGTTTTCTGAATCAAATGAAGAGCATGTTTTGTGATAAGTTATCAGTTTTACTGATAAGTATATTTTGTGTTCTCCTTCTCTGGAAATTAGTAATTCATAAATGGCATGTATGGCAATTCCCAGTTAAATAAATTCAGTTACATTTAAGAAACTTTTACTGGGTGCCTACCATGTGCAGGGTCCTATGCTAGGCACTAAGAAGGTTAAAAAAGATATATAAGAAATGGCCCCCAACTGTGAAGGGGTTTTATTGAATTAAGCAGAGCAGTTCACAATCCCTAAGTATTCTAGATAAACTGCAGTAGCTTATTGCAGTAATCTTTCTTAAACATCATTCTTTTAATTCCATAGTAGTGAAATGTAAGAGAAAATTAGCAAGTAATTCAATTCCAAGAAAGGGACTAAAGCATTTATATAGCAGCTACTGTGTGTCAGGGTAAGCGCTTTACATTTATTATTATTATTATTGTTGTTATCATTTCATTTGAATTTCATGGCAACCCTGGAAGGCAGGTGCTATTATTATCATTTCGATTTTATAGCTGAGGAAATTAAGGCAAACAGAGATTAAGTGACTTGCCCAGGGTCACATAGCTAGGAAGTATTTGAGGTCACATCTGAACTCCAGTTTTCCTGATTCCAGGCCCAACACCATTTTCACTACACCACTAATCACTTCAAAAGAACAGAACAGGTGAATTGTAAATCAAAGTACAATAAAGCACACAACCGGAAAATAATCAAAAATGAGTTTCTTAGGAAGTGAGAGTTCCTAGCATAAGAATGAAAATAAATGGTAGTTCATTTTAGCTACCAACATTAAGAATTCATTTGTGACTTGAAAGTCTATTCACTAACATTTACTTTAATAAAATATCAAAACTTCCAAATAATTATAGCAACATCTGATACCAATCATTCAATGGTCAAGTCTTTGCCAATAAACATCTGCAAATGCTACATGCTTCCTTTAAAACAGCAAACTGTTCAAAAACCAGGATATTCCCCAGGAGAGAGAGGACCTTTTGCTGGGAAACAGGACAATGTACACACATCCTCAATATTGATTTTAAGTTAATAATTTACTCTTTTGAACTTAAAGTTAACCAAAGTGACAGGTACTTTAGTAAAGCCCTGGAAGGCACATCCCAAATGGATAGTTTGAGCACTTACCACATAACAAATCAATGGCAGCAAGATAAGAACAGGAAGAAAAGAGGCAACAGAGGTTAATAACTTTTAAAAGTCTACATATTTAGTTTAAGCTGTCTCCATATTCCTCAAGTACACAGAAACTAGTGCCACTGGACAGCCCACCTTGGGCCTTGACAGACAATGCCTCACAGGCATGAAGCAGATGTCACAGTGTCAACGTTTCCCCTCCTGAATTAGCAGAGTTTGAGGAACTTAACAGTCAAAATGAATAGCAAGAAGTGCCATTATTTCTTCCTTTCAGGAGAAAGAAATGCTTAAGTCTTTACCAGTGCGAAAACAGGATATGGAGACTGGCTTAACATTTGTGCCTGGCTGTTGACAGGCAAGACCATTCCCTACCTTGGTTGCCAAATGAGATACCCCACTGGACACGTCATCAAAAATCTTTCCCTCTTTCACCTATGTGAATCAAAATGTCAGCACTTAGTTATGAAACACAATAGCAAAAAATGTTTCCCTCTAATCTTAAAAAAGGAAGAGATCAAATTAAAAAAAAACAATTAAAATATATGGATAAACTCCCCAAATTTTACTACCAACATTTTAGAAGAGTGCTTCTTAAGCAAAAAGGGGGAAGAGGGAGATGCCTCTAAACCACCTTTTAATTTTCTTATTCAGTATTATACTAAGGACTCTGATTTATGCATTAAGGAAATATACAACAGTTAAATCTTTCAATTTTGGCATGAAAATCTTGTTCTTAATTCTTTAAATGCTATTCTGTCTTGCAGAAAGGCAGATATAGCTCCTTGTCCCAGAGGAAAAAAACTACTCTATATTTCAGGTGAGAACAGAACTGGGTGAGCTTTGAGGGAGTTTTTGCTTCCTCAAATGCTTTTTGTAATCGTTCCCTCCCCCAAAAAAAGAAAGGGTATTCTGCAGATGAATGGTCTGATCTCGACCCCTGGGTTATTTGATGTTATTTTCTCTGTGCAGGGTACTGTCTAACTTTAAACTAATTTTTAAGGCAGAAGCTGGCCATCATCACAACAGGGTAGCTAGTATGGTGGATAGGGTACTGAACATGGAGTCAGGAAGACCTAGGTTCAAATCTTGCCTCTGACTGATACCACCTACATGATTAAAGGCAAGTCATTTTAACTGCTCTGAGCCAGTTTTGTCATCTATATTTAACAGTGCTTCTTAAAAACTGTGGGTCACAACCCCATATGGGGTCGCATAACTGAATGTGTGGGTCATGAAAAATTTGGCAACAGTAGGAGGTTTCTGAATGCGCAACAACCAAAAATTAATTCAAAACCAAACACGTAATGAATCCAAGGCATTTCTGGCAGCACTTGCCTGTGATGCACTGCACAATTTCATTGCAGCCTTGGTCCTGAAAACACGACATACGCACTTTGCACTGTGCATGCTGCCATGCCACACAACACCAACAAATGCTGCCAGAAACACCCGAGCTCAGATTCAAGATCACTGTATGTTATCAACTGCAGTGTTTTTACATTAGTATGCAAATTTGCTTTCGTCTTTAATAAATGGCAAAATTCTATGTATACCAAAGAATTGTTTTAAAATAAAATTTCTTCATGATTTATTATCAGCAAATATTTGATTTGTATACCTATTTTATATACCTACATACCTGGGGTCAGGTAAAAATTGCTCAGGTGAAAAGTGGTCACGAATAGAAAAAGTTTAAGAAGTACTGATCTATAAAATGATGGTGTTGGATTGGATGGCTTCTAAGGAAGCTTCCATCTTTAAACCTGAGATCTTATGAACCAAGGGAATGCCAGCAACTACCCACAGCTTTCTCTCTACCTTCTTACCACGTACCTGTCTTTTTCTCTTTATTCTCTTTTTCTTTTCCTTTTCTAATTCTCCCTTTTTTTTCCATTTTCCCTTGCTTTTCTGGTAGGTCTATCAGGGGTATTCCTACTGGTGGTAGGTACTCAAAGTAGAGTACCTACTAGAGTAATGACTGTTAACTCCTGATTTAAATTATCTGCACAACCCATCACTACAGCTTGCTTTGTTCTCTCAATTAACAATCTCCCACATGGAGCTAGCACTAAATAGCACTGATTTGTGCAATTATTTAGAGGTGTCATTCATAGGTTAAATTTTGTATCTCATTTATCCTTGACTAGAACAGTGGTCCTGATATTATCAGGCATAAAGTGAAGGAAAATAAAAGTTTGCATTACAAGATTTAAAGGCAATACAAACTGAAAATGGAAACACATTTTTGCCATAAAAACCTTTGATGCTACAAGCATCTAATGGAAATGAACACTTAACTGGTCCAAAGCAGAAATGATACATTTAAATGTAACCAGCTACTATGTAGCTAGCTACTTGTGACAGTATAATTGACAAAAATTATTTTCTTACAGAACAATGATTGTCTAAGTTATTTACTGGTTGCCAAAGTTACCTTTTCCTGTGCAGGTTTGAGAACATTTTCATTTAAACTGTGACCTAACTCTGAAGCCTATTTAAAATAAAGCAAATAAAAAGAAGTCAGTTATATTTTCCTTTATATAAATACAGTCAACATTCACTGCCTTTAAGAAGCTGATGGAATCACCAATGACACAGAAAAGACTCAAGCATAGCATTACAAAAGAATGTATGGGTAGCTACTCAGCTAAGAATATGTCATAATACTATGAAAAAATGTTATAAGACAAAAACCCCAATTAGTTCTCTTGCCCCCAAAAGCTTAAACAAGGTACATATGAATTAGCCAGGAAGCAAGGGTACCCTCCACCTTGAGCCCATAAAGATGGCCTCGCTGGTTAAGCATTCAAGCTAATGAGATATACACATGCACAGATATACAAAGATTTACATAGACATTTAACAGCCCCATCCATTCAAGGCCATCTTGTAATTCTGAACTATATTCTGCTTCCAACCTTTCGTGTCAATTATCCTGATTATCATCAGCCACAGGGCTTACTTTCCATCCAGGAAATATGCTCCTTCTTAAACACCTAAGTACAGCTTCCTGTGATGCAGGCAAGAGCATCTAATAATAGTTTCAAAATCCCTGTTACTAGGCAATACCAGAATCCATATCCATGTCAAAGGACATCAATAATGTTTTATAACTTACACATTCTTTTTTCTGTAAGAATATGAAAATATCGTGGGAGGAAATAAATTTTGTACTTTCTATCTTGTGCCTTTCATTGGGGAAGAAAACCAAATGCCAGATAAATTGTATGCCCCATACAAATAATGTTATCGCTTAAATACAGTTGGTCTGGGAGAAGTGGAAACAAAAGGGACAAAAAAAAAGGAGCAAATGCTAAGTCTTATGAAAAGTACAGCCTCACTCATGCCTACAAAAAGCAACAACTCCAGTATTCTGAATTTTTCGTCCTGCCCTTAACTCTTCTTAACTAAACTGCTTGTTAAGGCCCTCAAATTGGTTCAGAACAAAGAAGATTTAAGATGGCCTAATTTTAAGCAGTTCAAATAAAGCAAACTTTAGAATAAATAGCACTGGCAATGATGAGGAAACAAAATGAGCCACTTTTTAGTATTTACTAAGAAATCACTGAAAAGGAAGAGATGCTCACCAGGAACCTAGTACTACAAAAGGCAGGACTGCTAAATGATAGTAGCCAGGAATTATTCAATCACTGTAGAAAGCCTCTTACAGAGCATTTGTATTTTTTTTTAAAAGTCTTTTATTCAAAGGCTATAAGTTGATACGTAGTTTTTATATTTTTTAATAAATTATTTGGGAATTAAATTCAAAATATGGGAGCTGTAAAAAATACATCTGAGTCCATCAATCCAAATCAAATGGAAAAGCATTAGATTTGAGGTTAGAGACCTAGCTTCAAATTCTAACTCTGCCATTTAATACCTGTGTAATCTCAGGTAAGGAATTTTATCTTTCTGATATGAGTTTCCAAATCTTCTGATTCTATGACATAAGCACAAAGCTAATCAAACAATTTAATTAAATCACAACTCAATAACTAAGTTTCAAAAAGGCCTTCTAGAGGTTGTCACACAAAAAACTGAGGCTAGCGTGTTTAGAACAGTCCACTCAAGAACTAGTAAAAGTATATGTATCACACAAACGTCCCACGTAAAAGTTCTACCACTGACTGGCACAGTTGTGAGCTATCACTCCACAAATCACATAGCTACCGCCGCCACAAATTCAGATTTACTAAACACTCATGAGGGCAGGTTACTTGTACAAAAGCAGCATGATAGTTCAAAATGACTTTACTTAGGCTAAAACATATAAAATGATGCACACAACAGAATTTAAGACAATGAACAAAAATTGCAAAAAAGCTAATGAAGAGCAGTCCACAGCCCAACAGCAATAAGCATATACTCAGCACAAATACTGGTAAGGGCCCATGCACAAGAATGTATGTGAGGGCTTTACCGGCTCTGGTTGCTGTTTGTAGCCCCAAAACTTGACCCAAGAAAGGGGGCAGAGAAGAAAAAGAGAAAGAGAGCAAGGAAAGTAGAAGCAGCATTTAGCAAAAACTGGAAGCAGGTTAGGTTAAGTGTTAAAATTCATTTCTATTTATACCATCTACTGACAAGGTGAACTTCCTTCAATGGACATGAAATTGTAATAGATTTATTTTTACTGGCAGTTAAATATGACTGCTGACACCAAATACACTTCTAGTTATGGTTAATAAGTGGATTTCAACTGCCAGGTACGCCAAGATTCAGAATGAGTGTGTTGTAAGAAACAATACTCTTGCTAATGGAACACTTTATAAAATGTGTTTTACACATGGGAAATCTTAACCTGTGCCGTATTTCCATAATTATAAGGCAGCAGGGTAGAACTATGGTCTGTGTATATAGTATTTGCCTCATTCAAACTAGGAGGCAAATATCTGACTAAATTTTGGATCCCATACCTGCCACACATGCAAGCAGTCCAGAACTGTCATTTCTGATGGTCCACTTTAACAGAAAACAATAGTACTGATGATGAATGTAAATTGTCTTAATCGAACTCTTCAATTTTTTTGATTTCAAGAATTTGAGATCATTTGATGAAAATAAATGGAACAGAACAGACTCTGAGATTAAAAAACCATGGCAAACTTAAATCTGTGTAAGGATATGATCTCTCTCTTGAAATCTGCTCTTATTACAAAAAGAGGCACTTTTATTCCTAGAAACACTTCAAAGGTGTAACTTGAGCCTGGCTTTTTTGTGTTTGAATTTTCAAGTGCTCTGTGCAGTATCTGAATCAGAACTAGGCATAATTTGCTTGACTGCCAATATACTTTAACTAAACAAGAATGCACACTGTTGCACCTTTATAGATGAAGTTTAATTCCATAAGAGTCTTAAAATTCTTCAGTTTTGTTCCATGTGGGGTTAATTTAGTTCATGCAATGCCCTAAGCACATGCAGTCTTTTAACATACTTGCTTACAGGACTTCATAAAATTATAGGACATTTAAAGAGTGGACTTTCTGATGTTCTATATCTTTATAAACTATAATGTGCTTTCTATTTTTTAAAATATTTTTAAATGGCTACAAATATAAAATTTTTAGATGGCTACCTCTTAAGATAATTTTATTTCGATCACTTGTGAACATAAGACAGTATTCAGTTTTACAGCAGAAATTTCAGTCCATCAATTATGCGTTCACTGGGGAGCAAAACAGAGGTGCAGTCACCTATTATTAGGAATAGTCTCCAAGATGAGATTTATTAAACTAAACTCTGAAGTACGACTAGCGAGGTTGTGAACAAACTATGGCTGAAAAGAGAATGGCAACAGCTAACATAAATAATGATGGGGTCTGAAGTACTCATTTTAATCCACTGAATGCTGCTTTAAAGGAATTAGAAAGGCACCAGAAAATTATACAAATAGCACAATCAATACGCAAAAGCTATTATTTCACTACCTTTTGACTTGCTTGGGATCCAAATTTTGTAGCCTGTAAAAAAAAAATATAAGATTTCCGTTATCAAGCAACACATATATCAACAGGATTTGATTTTAAAGTTTAGCTATTACAATTTCAGTTTCAAAATAGTGTCACAACTTAAAATTAAGATCTGCAACCCCAGCAGTAGTCCCATTTTGGGTATCTCTAAAACAGCGTTTCCCATATATTAGCCTACAAAAATTTGTTTCTGTGTGATATGAATGAAAGTTCCATGAGAAGATTCAACAAAAAGAAAATTTTCACCAAAAAAAACCCCCAAAAAACAAAAAACCCATTAAAATATGCAATTACTTATCAAAACATATTTGGGGTTTTTTCAGTATGAAATTAATACATTTTCATTATTCTGTTTCCTGATTTTTCCAGATGTCATTTCATCCTAGAAGTATTCTGTATCTCAAGATCCCCTGGAAACCAAGTTCCATCAATTGTTCAAATTGTTCTGGAGCCAAATTAGTTTCAGAAGCATTGCTCCAAGGCATTCTGATACCACTTCCTGTAGCTGGTTTCTAAGCCAGTTTATTGAAAGGCCATAAGAAAACTTAAATTTAACAATAAAAATTTAACAGGAAATTACTATTTCCGTAATACACATTTGATTTAGCAGTTAGTCAAGGCACACATGCCAAAGACCTCTATGTAGAGGACTCATTTAGGTATTAATGGGAACCCTAAAGAAAGCAGAGTTGTCATCCTTCCCTTACATAACAAATATAACAACATCTAGCAACCACTGAGATAACGACACAGGTTAGGAAAATGGGGCATTCTATTCTCAGATTTTTTTATTCCTGTTATTGGACAGCCAGAACTATAAGCAGAGTGACAGAGTCTCAGTACCAATCTTAACCTTTAACAAGATCCCACCAGTGAAACAACAGAGTCAGTAAAAGAGTGGGGGGTAAAGCCAAACAGCGGAGTGAAAATAGTGACTTGCTTGAGCTCTCCCCCAAATCCCTCCAAATACCTATAAAAAATGGCTCTAAACAAATTCAAAAGCAGCAGAAAAACAGAGTGAAACAAATTTTCAGCCTAAGACAACCTGGATGGTTGATCAGAAAGGTATATTGCGCTAGGCTGGTGTAGAGGAGCACAGTGCGGCTTGGGTGCACAGGCTGCAGGGAACCTGGAGCAGGCCTCAGAGGACTGAATCGCAGGCAGCTGTGGCAGTTTCCAGACTTCTCAAACCAGGAATGCCAAAGACAATTTAGAAGGTCAGTGGGAAAGTCTGTTTCTGCAGTTAGGGTTAGAGAAAGAAGCGAGGTGGTTTCAGCTCCAGTCCCCAAGCTTGACCTGGGGCGATAGCTGCCTCCTGAGCTTCTGGCCCACAAACTGAGGGGGAATCAAGTGGCTGATCAGAGGGGGATTGCACGGATCTCTACACCAGTGCTGAGGCAGGAATCTCTTCTTTGCCCATGCTTGGATCTGGGTCACAATTCTGAGGGGTGGTCCTGGGGCGAGAAGGAGCGCTGGCATGGTGGAGCTTGTAGTGGCTGTGGAGGGGGGAAATCTTCCTCACAATTCCAGGACAGAAAGGAGTGCTTGTGGTCACTAACATACCAGAGCACAGGCCAGGAAAGGAGTAAACACCTCGCCCTTGATCATACCACCTTGGAAGAGCTGAAAATTTACAGGCCCCTAGAAGTATCTCTGAAAACAGCTATACAAACCCCCGAAGCTTGGGACAGTACATTCTCCACATTGGAAGCAGACTCTTACCTTAACAAAGAGTTCATAACTCAAGTAACTGGCTGAGATCATGAACAAACCTCACAAGAAGTGTCAGACCATAGAATCTTTCTCTGGTAACAAAGAAGATCAAAACATACAACCAGAAGAAGACAACAGAGTCAAAGCTCCTACATCCAAAGCCTCCAAGAAAAATATGAATCCCAGGCCTTGGAAGAGCTCAAAAAGGATTTTGAGAAGCAAGTAAGAGAAGTAGAGGAAAAACTGGGAAGAGAAATGAGAGTGATGCAAGAAAATCATGAAAAACTAGTCAATAGCTTGCTAAAGGAGACCCCAAAAAATACTCAAGAAAATAACACCTTAGGGGAAGCTAGGTGGCGCAGTGGATAGAGCACCGGCCCTGAAGTCAGGAAGACCTGAGTTCAAATCCGGCCTCAGACCAAACACTTGACACTTACTAGCTGCGTGACTCTGGGCAAGTCACTTAACCCCAATTGACTAAAAAAAAAATAAAATAAAAGAACACCTTAAAAAACAGCCTAACTCAAATGGCAAAAGAGGTCCAAAAAGCCAATGAGGAGAAGAATGCCCTAAAAAGAAAAATTGGCCAATGGAAAAGGAAGTCCAAAAGATTACTGAAGAAAACACTTCCTTAAAAATTAGAATAGAGCAATTGGAAGCTAGTCACTTTATAAGAAATCAAGACACTGTAAAACAAAGCCAAAAGAATGAAAAATTAGAAAACAATGTGAAATATCTCACTGGAAAAACAACTGACCTAGAAAATAGGTCCAGGAGAGAGAATTCAAAAATTATTGGACTATCTGAAAGCCATGATCAAAAAAAGAGCCTAGACATCATCTTTCAAGAAATTATCAAGGAAAACTGCCCTGATATTTTAGAACCAGAAGGCAAAACAGAAACTGAAAGAATCCGCCAATCTCCTCCTGAAAGAGATCCCCAAAGGAAAACTCCTAGGAATATTGTAGCCAAATTCCAGAGTGCCCAGGTCAAAGAGAAAATATTGCAAGCAGCCAGAAAGAAATAATTCAAGTATTGTGGAAACACAACCAGGATAACACAAGATTTAGCAGCTTCTACATTAAGGGACTGCAGGACATGGAATATAATATTCCAGAGGGCAAAGAAGATAGGATTACAACCAAGAATCACCTACCCAGCAAAACTGAGTATAATCCTTCAGGGGAAAAAATGGTCATTCTGTGAAATAAAGGACTTTCAAGCATTCTTGATGAAAAGACCAGAGCTGAATAGAAAATCTGACTTTCAAATACAAGTGGAACATGAAGAGGTAAACAGGAAAGAGAAATCATAAGAGACTTATTAAGGTGAACTGTTTACATTCCTGCGTGGAAAGATGATATTTGTAACTCATGAGACCTTTGTCAGTATTAGGGTAGTTGGAGGAAAAAAATTATATGTATGTATAGGTAGATAGGTAGATAGATAGATAGGTAGATAGATAGATAGATAGATAGATAGATAGATAGATAGATAGATAGATAGATGGATGGATGGATGGATAGATAGATAGAGGGCACAGGGTGAGTTGAAGATTAAGGGGGTAATATCTGGAGAATAAAATTAAGTGGTGAGAGAGGATTATACTTGGAGAAGGAGAAAGGGAGAGGTAGAACAGGGTAAATTATCTCACACACACACACACACACACACACACACAAAAACAGAAAAGAAAAGGCTCTTACCATGGAAAAGAAATGGCATAAGGTGAGAGGGAATGAGTGAATCTTATTCTCATCAGATTTGGCTTCAGGAGGGAATAACATACACACTCAATTGGGTATGGAAATCTATCTTACCCTACAGGAAAATAGTGGGGGAAGGGGACAAGACAGCAGGGAGATGATAGAGGGGAGGGCAGACTGGGGGAGGAGGTAATCAGAAGCAAACACTTCTGAGGAGGGACAGGGTCAAAAGATGAATAGAATAAATGGGGGGGCAGAACAGGATTAAGGGAAATAGAGTTACTTTTTCACAACATGACTACTATGTTTTGCATAACTGCACATGTATAACCAGTATTGAGTTGCTGCCTTTTCAATGATGGTGGGTAGGGAGGGAGGAAGGGAAATAATCTGGAATCCAAAGTTTTAAAAACACATGTTTAAAAAAAATGTTTTTGCATGCAACTGGGAAATAAATATAGGAAATGGGGTACAGAAATCTATCCTGCCCTACAGAAAAATTGAAGGAGAAGGGGACAAGAGAAGGGGGGGAGAGACAGAAGGAAGACAGACTAGGAGAAGGGATATTCAGAATGCATACCATCTTGGAGTGGAGAGAGGGGCAAGATAGGGTGAAAATCTGGAACTCAAAATCTTGTGGAAGTGAATGTTGAAAACTAAAAATAAATAAAATCTGATAAAAAAAAAAAGAAGAAACAGTGAGATATGGGGGTAGTCCCCTTGTTTGAAGCGAAATTGCCTCATCAACTAATCAAACAACAAACATTTATTATGTGCCTACTATGTTCCAGGCACTGTACAGATATGATTGCTGGGCCCAGGCTGAAAGCAGGGCTGATGGTCTTGCTAGCACTATTATTTCCAGGGCTCTTCAGTTCAGGATTCTGAACTGCATTTAGAATGACCTGAGTGGAACATTCTGTCTCCTGTCTCTTTCTTCTTAGGTGCCTGCTTGCTTCAGATAGTTTGGCTTGTCTCATAAACAGTAAATACAGTGTGAGCAGCACAAATAATGCAAACCTGACTGGATTGTAGAGAGCAGAAGGGGGATTACTATATAATGGGACTGGAAAGACAGGTTGAGACTAGGTTATGAAGAGTTTCAGTAGTTAAACAGTGAAGTTTACATTTTATTCTAGAAGCCATAAGGAGACAATGAAATTTACTAAGTAAGGGAATGACATGATTTGATCTGTATTTAAGGAAAATTATTTTGGTAGCCATGTGAAGGGTGATTGGAGTAAGGAAAGAATTGAGGCAGGAAGACCAATTAAGAGTCTATTGGAATTCTAGGCAAGAGATGGGCCTAAACTAAGATCAGAGCTGAGTAAACAGGGAGGAGTCAATTACTAGAGAAGTTTGGAGGTAGAAATTGCAAGATTTGGCAAATAACTATATATGTAGGGTGAGGGAGAACGAGAAGTCAAAGAAAATGCCAAGGTGACAAACTTAGGAGACTGGAAGAATGGTGGTGACTATGAGAAGAAGGATGGGTTTGGGGCAATAAATTATGTTTTGGACATGTTGAATTGAGATGTCTCTAGGAAATCCAGTTTGTAATGTTTGATGGTACTACAGGACTGAGGGATAGACTATGGATGGATCTGTAGATCTGACAGCCATATGCATAAATAATAATTAGACTTATGAGGTCAGCAAAGGAGTTGGGAGGGGGGAAGGGAGATGGAGAAAGAGAGTATATGTGTGTTTACATATCTTTTATATCTCATACACACACACACACACACACACACACACACACACACACGACACACACACACACACGAATGAAGAGTTCCAGAGAGCAAGTACCCCAGCACAAAGCTATAGAGCATACCAATAAATTAAGGGGCATGATATGGAAAATGAACTAACAATGACTGAGAAGAAGCAGTTAGATTAGTAGGCAGAGAACCAGGAAAAAGTAATGTCACAAAAACCCACAGATGAAAGAGTGGTAAAGAGTGTTAAATGCAGTTAAGAGGTCAAGAAGAATGATTGACAGAACCAGGGAACATTGTACACAGTAACAGCCATGCTGTGAGATGACTAACTTTGACAGACTTAGCCCTTCTCAGCAATGCAAAGATCTAAGACATCTCCAAAGGCCTCGTGATGGAAAATGCTATCCACATCCAAAGAAAGAACTATGGAATTTGAATGCAGATGGAAGCATACTATTTGCTATTTTTTTTCTCTTCTGTTGAGTTTTGTTTCCTCTTTCTGGTGGTTCCTCCTATTGGTTCTAATTCTTACTTACAACATCACAACATCACCAATGTGAAAATATGTTTAATAGGAATGTATAGCCTATATCAGATTGTGTGCCATCTTGGGGAGGAAGGGGGAGAAAAACATTAAACTCAAAAGAGTGACTAAGAAAAATGATCAGATCTGGCATAATCCTCCTTGATTGTCAATGAAACTTTGGCTGTTCATCCTGAAAGGGACATTTGTTTCTACATTCCTTTGATTTGTTTTGAAAATTGGCATATACCCCAAATGAACAGGCCTATCAGAGTTTATCTTAGAAAATTATAATTAACTCTTAAAGAAAAATACTCCAGTATCAGAGAGATTCACAAGTATTGCAAACTTTCAAAGAACATTTAATTCTACTACTACACAAACTGTCTGAATTAATAAGAGAAGAATGCATGCTTCCAAACTCTTTCTATGATACAAATATGGTCTTGATATCCAAACTAGAGAGACAAAGTAGGGAATGAAACTATAGACCACTGTATGTAGACTACTGATGCAAAAGTTGTAAATAAAATATTAGTAAGGAGGCAACAACATATTAAAAAGATTATATATTACGACCAGGTTGAATTTATACAATTAGCCTGGGAGCTCCTTGATAGCAGGGACTCTTTCTTTGTACTTCCAGTGCTTAGCCCAGTACCTGGCCTTTAAACCCAAATCACTCTGGCTCTCACTGATTGGCCAATCCCTGCCTAAGCCTCACTGACTCACTGTTTGGGTTTATGGCTCAGAGTGAATGTAAATAGCAATTGTTTCCATTCTGGCTAGAAAACAGGTGTCTTCCCTTCCTAAATTGAATCTTTTGGCTATCTTTTGCCTCAATTCTTACCTAGCCTTTAATCACTGAATAGGTGTTGCCTCAGACAAACTTGACACCAGGGAAAGACCTTAGCTTAAAAAGGACAGGGGCTAACTCCACTCATCCTCCTCTATAACTTGCCACTGGACCCAGATGGCTCCAGAAGAGTGAGGCTGATGCCTTTACACAGCCCTGCCTCATTTAAATCCAATTCACTTGCAAGTCAAGTCATTACTCTCCTGATGTCACTGAGCCTCTTCGAGAACGAAGGATAAACAACAACAACAGCCTTAGCACAGTACCTGGCAAATAACAGGCACTTAATAAATGCCTGCTGACTTGACCAGAAATGTAGGGTTGGTTCAGCATAAGGAAGACAATAAATATATAAAGCACATTGATAATACGAATGATAAAAACCATATGATAGCAATAGATGCTGAAAAGACTTTTTTACAAAATCCAACATTTAATCATATTAAAAATCCTAGAAATTATAATAAATGGACCTTTTCTTAATACACTAGTTTTTAATCTAAACAGCAAGAACAGACATTATATGTAATTGAGAAAGGTTACAAACCTTTTTCAGTAAAAGCAAGGATGCCCATTATCATTGTTAATATATTAACATAATGTTAGAAATGCTAGCCAAAGATATAGACTAGAAAAGGAATTTGAGGGAATAAGCATAACAGAGAATAAGCAATGGCAAAGAAAAAACAAAATTAGTCACTTTTTATAGGAGACATGACAGCGCATTTAGAACACCTAGACAGTCAACTAAAATTAATAATTCAGCAAAGCTGCAAGATATAAGACAAATCCACACAAATAATAAACATCCCTGTATGTAACAAAAAAAAATATTTTCAAGTACAGCTTCTAAGATTCATCCATGGATTATGTGAATCCAACTACAAAACACTCTTTGAAGAAATGAAAACAGACCTAAATAACTCTAGAAATATTAATTGCTCCTGGGTGGTCAAGTCAATATAACAAAAATGACAAAACTAGCTAAATCAATTTATTTCTTCAGGACCAAACTCCCAAAATAATAAAGAACTAGAAAAAAATGAAATTCACAAAGGAACTAAAGTCAAGAATGTCAAGGGAAATACTGAAAAATGATCACATATAAAAATGTGAGAAGAAAGGCAGTCTTATAGTACCAGATCTCAAACTGTAGTATAAAACAGTAACCATTAAAACAATTTGGTACTGGTTGAAAAAAGAGAGAGAGATGCTGAAGAGGACAATTTCAGAGAAAAGTAGGAAGACCTTTATGAACTAATGTAGAATAAAATGATCAAACTACAACAATTTCTAAAATGCTAACAGTAGTATAGGGAAAAACAATTTTGAAAGACTTTAAAACATTGATCAACATAATAAAACCACAAGACCAAAAAGAATGAAGATGAAACATGTCATTAATCTTCTGAGAGACAAGTGATGAACTTAAAAATGCAGAGACATGGTCAGTTCTGCTGACCACATTATAAAACAGATAATGACAAACTGAAATGCCTCCAGAAGAGGGTGACCTCCAGGATGGTGAGAGGAATGGAACCGTGGAACATAAGGAAATATCCAAGTAAGGATATTTAGCATGGAGAAGAAAGACTTAAGAAGAAGTATTTGATCTTCAAGTATTTCAAGGGTTGTCATACAGAAGAGGAATCAGAATTATTCTGCTTGGCTTCAAAGGGCAAAAACAGAAGAAATAGGAAGAAACTATAAAAGCAGATTTAAGATTGACATAAGGGAAAATTTCATAACAATGAGAATTGTCCAATAATATAACAGGCTACTTTGGCAGGCAGTTAGAAGCTGGACAGATCACTTGCTGAGACATTTTAGAGACAATTTCTCCTATAGCACAGTTTGAAGAAGTCTTTTTAAGTCCTTTTCATTTTTTGAGGTTTTAGGATTCAAGTTTTTCTTCCCCACATTCACATCAAAACAAATAACTAATATTTACTTTATTATATGGAATAGGATAAGAGAGTTGAAACTGGAATGAGTAAAGTCATATTTTTAATCCTATTTATTTTTCAATCAAAACAACCATTCAGGCTTGTCTCACTCTTAATAACTTCTATATACACTGCAATAACAAAATCCCACAATTTCAGGTTATACATACATACACATATATACATACACACATGCACACATAAATGTATACACATATATTGTAATTTAAACTACTATGTCTCATACTTATATAATCTTTTAAAAAAATATTTTGAACATCTTAAATATGTGAATAACCTTACAGGCCATTTATGTAAGTAATAAATAAACAGACCAAAGCTTAGCCATTTACAACCTTGGGAAAATCATTGAGCCTTTTTGAGGCTTAGTTTTATTAACTGTAAAATGAGGGCACTGGAAGGGAAGGGAAAGGAAATAAGCATGTATATCGTGCCTACTATGTGCCAGGTACTATGCTAAGAACTTTAGAAATATAAACTTCATAACAATCCTGGGAGGTAGATGCTGCTATTTCCCCATTTTACCATTGAGGAAACTGAGGCAGACAGGGTAAGTGACTCACACAGCTACTAAGTATCTGAAACTGGATTTCAACTCAGGTCTTCCTGACTCCAGGCCCAGCATTCTATCTACTGAGCTACTTAGATGCCTAACTGGGCTGGAATACATGATCTCAAAGGTTCCTTTCAAACATAAACCCATGACCACAAAAATCACAGAATCTGAGATTTGGAAGGGACCTTCCTGGCCATCTAGTAAATCCTACACCTAAAAAGAATCCCCAATATGGCATATCTGACGAGATATAACTTGAGAGAAAATTAGTTATTTCATAAACTGTGTTAACTTTCATACCTACCTTACAGAAGTATGAGGAAAGTGTTTTGCTAATCATATTATTATTAATTTTAGTTTTTAATCCACAGTGAAAGCTGGAACTAATGTACGATTCAAACTTTGAGAACTTGTAAAGTTGTAAACTCAGTATGTTCTACTTATATAAGGATGGTTAATCTCCTTACTGCAGGAAATAAAATCTTCATTTGGTAATAAAAGTTTAGAATATTTGTAATTAAGTAAAAAACAACTCACAGTGTCATCTAAGGATGCTGACTCAAGCTAATTTTTTCACCCTTGCTCTAAAAGGTGCTAAGTGGGCTCTACGTAAACCAGTTTTACAACAGTTTGGTGGCTGTTTACTTACACCTTCTTTAGCTGCGGAAGCAAACTTGCTTGCTCCAGTTGTAAAACTGCTCCAGCCCTGAAAGAGGTAACAGAAAATTACTACACAATTAGTCAATACATCAAGAATCTCCTCTTACTCATAGTTAAAAAAAAATTGTAAAAGCAACTAGATATCACCGTAACATTAGCACTGCATGTTTATGTTATTCAATTATATACTCTACATGATAAAACTGGATTATTTCACTGGCAACATTGGACAGTATTTTTACCATCTGCTTTTGCTTTCAGTTTCAAAATGAGAACTTTTCCAAATTATAGCAGCAAAAGAACTTTCCCTCCTTTTAAGTCCTATAAAACTTACATCCAAGCCAATCACTTGTGACTTACTATACAATATTTTGTTAGTGAGTTCTCTGTAAAAAGTTGAACTGAATTCAAGGTTCTTGAGAGCAGAGACGAATCTTGGAGATCCTTACGTGCCTCGCTGAATGGACTGCAGTATTTTGCACATAGTAGGCACTCAAAAATGTGTTTATTACATGAACACAATGAAGTATAACTGTGCATGATTCACTCGTACAAGACTAGAATTAGAAGGATCTAAGAAGTAAATAATCTCTAACAAAGAGTAGGGATAAACCAAGTTTTAGACTTAGAAAGGAAGTAAGTCTCTGGCCTAGAGAAAGTAGAAAAAAAAATAAACATTCTGACTCTGGTTAACTTTGTCACAATCTTTCAATGAGATTATCACAACCACTTCAACAGAGTCTACAGTTAAAAGACATGAGGAAATCAGCACCTCTGAATAATTTTATAAAACTTCCTATTTTAGACAAGAACAATGGAGATAATGTCCCTCTTTTCTATAAAATATGCATATCCTGACAAATTAGGTGGTACAATAAGTGCTTATAAAATGTCTTGTGAATCCAGTTAAAGAGCTTTATTTGTGTGAAAGGTGTCAGTTTACTAAATCAACAACAGATATGAAGAAAGATCTTGATAAACTAACATAATGAGCTGAACCTAAGACAACAAACCTATTAAGGTTAATTTAAAGTCCTATACTTGGGTACCTATAAAAAAAATCAACACAAGAATAGGATAAAGGATGTATAATTAGAAAAAACTCAATGTGAAAAAGACTTAGGCATTTCACTAAACTCACTTCATAATTAAGACTGAAAATTCAGGTCAAATATAATATACAATACTGGTACAATAAAATCAAAGTGAAAGTATATGCCTTCACTTTCTGTTAACAGGAAAACAGTGAAGTACTACTTTTAAATACATTATATTTGTACATACAAATACACTAAACTATTGGTGGTTTTGCTTAACTATTTTGGGGGAATGTACTACATGTGTTGGTGGGCTGTTTAGAAACGTCATATTGAAACAAAATGTATAGTTGTTTTGGGGTTTTTTTGTAAAGAGCCAACAATATGACATGTAACCAAAAAAGTACATTTAATCTTAGGCTATCTTACCAAAAAAATTTTCAAGCTCTGAGGTACCACCTCACACCTATCAGATTGACTAACATGACAAAAAAAGTAAATGATAAATGTTGGAGAACACGTGGGAAAATTGGAACACTAATACATTGCTGGTGGAGTTGTGAAATGATCCAACCATTCTGGAGAGCAATTTGGAACTATGCCCAAAGGGCTATAAAACTGCATATACTTTGATCCAGCAATAACACTACTAGATCTGTATCCCAAAGAGATCATAAAAAAGAAAAAAGGACCCACATCTACAAAAATACTTATGGCAGCTCTTTTTGTGGTAGCAAAGAATTAGAAATTGAGGAGATGGTCATCAATTGGAGAATGGCTGAACAAGCTGTGGTATATGAATGTAATGGAATACCATTGTGCAATAAGAAATGATGAGCAGGCAGACTTCAAAAAAACCTGGAAAGATTTACATGAACTGATGACTGAAGTGAGCAGAAGCAGAACACTGTATACAGTAACAGCAACATTGTGCGATGATTAACTATGATAGACTAAGATCTCCTCAGCAATACAACTGATCTAAGACAATTTCATGCTAACCACATCCAGAGAAAGAACTGTGGATGCTGAATGCAGAATGAAGCACATTATTTTCACTTTTTGTTTTTTCCCCTTTGTTCTGATTCTTCTTTTATAACACGACTAATGTAGAAATATGTTTCATATGATTGTACCTGCGTAACCTATATCAGATTGCTTGCTGCCTTAGGGAGCAAAGCTGCTGAAGGATAGGTGAACTGGCTCAGGTCAGAAAAATGAAGCAGATTAGAGCTCCCGTGGTATTCTACAGTGGAACTGGCCCATCAGTATCTGCTGCATTTCCAAACAAAGGAAGGGGAAAGTGATGATCTTCCTGTATGCTACCTAGGTGAGACTGTCTTCAGTTCTGTATGCCATATTTTAGGAAGCACACTGACAAGTAGCAGGGGAACTGGGATGGTGACATGATTAGGAAACAACCATGTTATCTGAATATCAATAGATAAAACTAGAGATGATTAGCTTGAAGAAGACAAGACAAGACTCTAGGTTGGGAATGACAGCATGAAAAGATTTAGATTTGATGTGCTTGGCACCAGAGGTCAAAGAAAGGAGCAGTGGTTGGAAACCGCATAATGGCAGATCTTAGCTGCATATAAGGAAAAAACATCCTAGCAGGAAGTGCTCTCTGAAAGTGGAATGCGCAGTCTTGGGAGGGAAAATTTCTTAACACTAGATGTCCTCATGCAAAAGCTGGATATCCATTTGCCAGAAATGTACATAGCATTCTTGTTTGGGTTTAGACTACATTAGAGGACCTCTGAAGGCCCTTCCAACTCTGAGACTTTATGATTCAGTGCAGCTTTTGCAGTCTGAGGTATGTACAACAATCTCCCAAAGAGAAAACAACAACAAAAACAACAAAAAACCCAAATAGGAAATCAAAGGTAAGCAGACTATTACCCTTTCTTCAAGGCTTTAAGAATTTTGTTGGTCAGAATTTTAAGCCAATATATGCTTGAACTGTTTAAAATCTTAAATGTCCTGGACCTAAGACATCTTATACCATTCCAAAGGGATGGAGAATCAAAGTTCTTTAAATATGAAAAGGGATATAAATATATTAAACACTGCTATTTAAAAAAAATGCAGAGAGTAAAAGAAACACACCCTAGAAGAGAGTTTCTTTAATGACCACACAAACATGCTTTTGTCAGAAATCTTACTTCTCTACTTCCCTAGTTTCAGAAACAACCCCAACAGGAAACAATTATAGTTATTATCCCCTTTCTTCATTTCTCTTTATGGTTCCAAGCTTTTAAACAATAAAAGTTTACTTGGAGAACAAGAATCTTAGAAAATATATTTCTATTTTGTGGTAGGGGGAAGTTTGGTCAATACGCATTTTTAACTACTGCATTATTCTTATACTCTGTATTTCTGAGTTATATGGTTACTAAACTGTTACTAAATAATACTGAATGTTAATAGTAAGAGCTTATGATACAACAGTCTGTATATACAAAATCCTTTATATACATTACCTCAGGAGTTTTCAATAATTCACTCACATTTCTGCTGCCTTTATTTTTGGTGCAGGCCTATGATTTTTATCAGGATAAGGAGTTTCCCAGTGAATAAAACTTTTACCAAAGCAGATTAGCTTAGTTATTCTACAACTTATAATCTTTGAATTGCCTAGGCCATTGAAGGATGAAGTGGCTTTCCCACGGTCACACAGCTACTATGGATGGATGGATGGATGGATGGATGGATGGATGGATGGATGGATGACTGGATAGATATATAAACAGATGGATAGACACACAGATATGTGGGTATAGATATACAATATCTCAGTGATGGGATATGAACTGACTGCAATGCCAGTTCTCTATCCATCATATACTTAACTCTGCACATATCTGCTTCTGATAGGTAGCCATAGCCAAAAAATTCAGTGCCTAATGGCTAACGTACTGGCAACATGCTGCTTGGTAGAGTTGACCAAAGTTTATGTGCTGTTGGCAATGTCTTGAGAACCCAGTCACCTTATAATTAGACACTGGGATAAAACGTTTGTGGAGGATAACATAAAATGACTAATCTCAGAATAACTGTAACCTTCTATTAGCACACTTCTTGTCCACAGAAATGAAATTTCTACCTCTTCTATAGTCAGTAAACATGCCAGTACCAAGGTATCAATGCAGTCTGCTTTCAGTCTTACAGCTCAAGTATAGCCTTCTGTGAGGTCTTCAGACTTTCACTATATATTCTCAATAGAGAAAAGCAAAAATGTCATTTTCACTTTGGAGGCTCCTTGTGGTTTTAGAAAAAAAGACATTATATAAATTTTAAAATATTTATTTTTTTAAAAAAGTAATGTATTGAAGTGCCGACCAAAAAAACCCTCTTCTTTTTGTTGAACCATATATTTTAAGTTTCATTAAGGACGTCAAAAGTCTTTTGATGGTAAGGATGAATCAATCTCAATAAATATCACAGGAAAAGAACTACTCTTGGAACAATGACTTTTGATTGAGAAATACAGCACTGAACAAACCCTTTCTACCTTGAGATGCTTGTCTCTTGAGCTCCTTTATTTTATCCTACATAGGGAAAAAACCATTATTACAAGTCTCCAAAACAGGTCAGAACATAAAGCTCTAGGAGAGAATTTCCTTACCAAATACAGTGATGACATGGCATTATTGAGGAAGTCGTCATCTTTTTTCTGAGGGGGTACTGTGTTACCAAACCCAACATAGCGATTCTCTTGGCCTCTAAAAACCATTAAACATAAACAAATTAATTGAACAAATCTTTTCTACAAAAAACAAATACTATTACCTCTCCGTCTACTGCATGTTTTGAAAAAAGGGAGAATATGGCAGTGCTAAAAGAATTATTTTTACTGGAAACAGAATTGCGAACAAACATTGTTTGAGCTTTCCGAACACTTCAGTTAATGCACTCTGGTCTGTATACTACTACCACCAAAGAAGCAGATACTCAATCTTTTGCTATCAGGTGTCAAATGCATAAAACTGCTTCTCTAGTAGGATACAGAGAATAATTTTTTTTCTCTTGGTCATTTATTATGAAGGGAACTCTATGAAAGATTTCCACTAGCCTTGAGAACCCCTTATCATCTATGTGCAAGAACTGAAAGTTCTAAATAATAAGTAATTTAACTTGATAGGATATAGTCTACTAAAATTCACTTGCAAGTCAATGAGATTGATAGAATAACTATAGCCCTCTGACTAAAGTAACCGACACGGTGAAGACTAATTTTAAAATATATCCAAACAGTATGTTGTTCATAACCAAAACCTGCACAACAGGCTTAGTTTTTTGAACTCTACAAAGGATAAAGTATCTCTGTTCAAAATATTCAAAAAGTAGTATATTCCTGACCCATTCATACGAAGAACATCTCCCTTGGAAGACAGATTAAATTAAAATTAGATAACTATGTGTTTCTTATTATTCATGAGGCCTCACCCTTGATATGAGCTGATATCATCATTCAACCAGTCTTCAAAAGCTTTGTCTGAAGAGGCAGCTGTATTTTGCGATTGGCCAGAAGTACTGAAAATCAAGATTAAAGGTTAATGGAACCAAATCCTGGTAGAAAGAACATATTTAGTTGTCTTTCAACACTTCAAGGATTTGTGATAAAACTAGTATAGATGATCCCTCCACTTCCATAGGTCACAACCTTCCCTAAGACTTAGCAAACTGTCTCCATGAAAGGCTATGTTGGAAAAATTCAATAGTTAGTAGCCAACGTTCTGGTGCTAAGCCTTCCCATGCTAAGTTGAGCATGCCCTTGGACTAGAAATACACAATCTGTAACTATGCCTGTAGTCAAAGCTCTATAGTTGGGAAGAGCCTGTCAGAACTTGTGCTCCACTGGTATAGCCTTTGAGAACTCAGGGTCACCTCCATACCATGAAGCGACATGAAAGCACCACTTAAATGGAGGTACAAAGAACATAACAAAGAAAAAAACTGGCACACCTAGTGAGACCTGAATGCTAGCTAAGGCAATGGACGTGGCTTTGTATCATGCCTGTCACTTCAGGTATGATTTGCTCTGGAGGGTAAGGCCAAGATAATTTAAATTCCTTGTCTGAAATAAAATTTTGAGGAAAAGATGAAAGCAAGTAAGGTGACCCATTCCAACACTATGTAAATCAAATAGCAACTGCTACTGGGACCATTAGATATGTAGTAGGGCCAATGGAGGGAACAAAGGGAAAGAGGGGACCAGAAATTAAAAAAAAAAATAGCCCTTCAGAAAACCTTCAGATAGAAACACCTCAAAAGTAAAAAAAGCTTAATACTGGCAAGAAAGCATGAATGCATAGAGTTTGAAGTATAAGAACAACAATCTGAAAACAAAACACTGATTTAAAAAGCCATTTATGTTTATCAAAGCTAGTATTAAAATTTAAGTATTAGTAGAATTCTATACGGGAGCTGAAATTGGAACACAGAAAGAAAATGGTAAACGGCAAGCAGCTAGGTGGCGCAATGGATAGAGCACCAGCCCTGGATTCAGGAGGACCTGAATTCAAATCTGACCTCAGACACATAACACTTGCTAGCTGTGTGACTCCGGGCCAAGTCACTTAACCCCCACTGCCTAACTCCCCCCCCCAAAAAAGGAGCATTTAAAATTTAAAAAAAAAAAAGAAGATGGTAAATGAGACCTACAGCAGAATTTCAGGAGTACAAAGGAATAAGTCTGCATTTAAAAGTCATATACCGGTGAGCTGAGGATAGAGCCATTTTAGGCTGAGGTGGAGTCCAGTTTTGAGCAGAAGATGTTTCAAGTGACCATTCTTTTCCTTCAGCTAATGTAGCTACCTAGAGATAAGTAAGTGACAAAATAAGACAACATGAAGCCAAATAAGAATTTAGAGATCATGGATTTTTGATTTACTTGTTTTGTTCAAGGCATATGTACACAATCTACAGCACTCCAAGCCAAAACCTCGCCCCCAAAATATCCCAAAACAAAGCAACAACAAAACTCCCTTTATAGCCAACTTCCTCATATGGCAGTTAATGTCCAGTTGTATCTTAAGCTATGTCTCTCAATTCTGATTACAACTGAAAGTAATTTCAGCACTCAACTTAATCATTTTAAGTCTACACATAAACCCTTGGGAATCCACTTTCTATCCCATCATGCAATGTGCCTCACTCCCCTCTGAGGAGAATATTCTTCTCAAGATATAAATGAGCCTTTCATTTTCAATTACTGTATAAAACTCAATGTTCTGCTCCCTCCTTCTTTAACTCCCTCCCCTGCACTACAGGTAGAGAAGAAAGCACAGCTTCTGTTTATCAAAGGTTATTTGTTTACCCTATCATCAAAATCAACAGTCATTACTCTTTAGCACCATTAGGTAGCCTTTTGACTGTGGAAAACTCTGACCTAATGATGGCCACATTCTTAGTGATTTGCAGGACTTTGCTGTTAGCATCTGAAGGCTTTGCTAGAAATTAATTCAATTTTTCTACAAACATGCTTGACTTGCAAAATGTTTACTGTGTTAAGTACTAGAGAAAGCATAATCCTCACTTCCTAAAAAGACTAGAGTTTATATTCCTCTAACCATACAGAAAGTTGACACTTAAGCTTACCTTGTCCCTAAAAAGAGCTGCAGCTTTGCTGTTGTATTTCTCCTGCATTGACCAACAAGGATCATAATCATCTTGGGATTCCAGGAATTCCCGAAATCTGGCATTTCCCCCAGCCTTCATCTTCTCAAGCTCAATGTCCTTCCATTTGTCCATGGTAACAGAGCGCACAAAGCTAGGAACCAACATACATCCATTATCTAAAAGCGTCTTCAATTCATTTTATCTGGCCCTAAACAATGCTGTGTACAATACTCTAGTTTTTAATTTCTCAATGGGTAACTGACCTGAGGTGAACTCCTAGGCCTCGATGTTTCCCTGAGCATTCCAGGCAGATCCAAATCCCATAGGTCACACTCACCCACTGGGGATTGAATGCTCCACACTCAAAACAGACCTGCCAAAAAAAAAAAAGTATCAAAAACAACTCATAATAGCCTCTGCAAACATACAGCAATATACAAAGAGAAAGAACAGGGTACATGAGCATCCTTCAGAACCTCTGGATAAAAGAAAGATGGAGTTGACAAGACAGATTCCAGAAAGGATAGCTAAAGAAGTATGAGAAACAAGATAAAGGAGTAACCTAAAAACCAAGGTGTCAGTATATTGGGTCAGTAAGTTCAAACCCAGCAGGCAGAACTAGTAGGATCAGTATGGAAAAGAGGCCCTTGAGTTAGACTAAGAAAAGGTCAGTGGAAATATAGAGAATGTGGTTTCTATGAAGTAGACCCAGTGAAGATCAGAATGTGAGGTGTTACAGACAAAGCAGAAAGAGAGAGATGGTAGGAAGGGACAGTACATCTCCCTTCTCAAAAGATCTGGATGTACTGGAATGGCAACATATAAAATCTAAAGCGAATTCAAATTAAAATATTTCTTAAATAAATGCTATATAAGAAACATGGTGGTAGTAGGAGTACAGATTTCTCATTTGAAATTGGAAGTTCTCCTCAAATGAATTAACATTTACTGACCACCAGAAATGAGATTACTACTTTATAGTTACATTTTAAACTACTATGCACATAATTATATGCCTTAACTTTTAGAAGTTATGCTAATGAAAATGAAAACAGTATTACAAGGAGCTCACTCTACACTGGACCATTAAAATAATCCATTACAACTAATTAAAGCTTCAAATGAGACACAAATCCTTACATTGTTTTCATCTTGTGCTCTGACTTCTTTAAGAACCTTCCTTGTTCTCGGACTTGCCATGATTCTGGAAAAAGGAAGGGAGAATGTGTATTTACTTTTTTAAAAAATATAACTCAACTGAAACACTTCACAGGAAAAAAATGGTTAAATCAAATGCATTTCACAACAGCCAACCACAATTTAAGAAGTCCTCAATTCCCTGATTCCAAGAAGGACTTGAGTAGAACTGCTAAAGACGACAGCTTCCCTAATAACACAAATTTACTGACCTATGGCCTGAGACACTGGAAATGTTATTTCTTAAGTAAACTGAAGTAAAAGAGTTCGTTACCCTAACTCTGAGAAAGAGGGCGGCAGTTTGAATACTCACACTAGAGGAGAATTCTATGTTCTTTGAGTGGAATTTAATTTTTGTAACATTTTGCCATTTTGACTTAAGTATTATGTACATAGGAATTGTACGTTATTTCCAAAACATCACATTCTTTATAATTAAAGTCAAAGTTCTTAAGTCGTGATCTTTTTCAGTCATGCCACAAAAATGATATCGAATCAAATTTCCCACCTGGGTGGACCCTAAATTTGAGTTAACTTTTTAAAATGAAGGAGAAAATTTCAATCTGTTGCTTCTTACAAATTTAGAAGTTAATATCTCTTCCTTGTCCCCTCAGAGTAAAGGTAAGACATTATAAAAATCACAAAACTCTTACACGTAATAAAGTGACAGCCTACTACCACCACTCTGCCCTCCCAAAACTCAAAAAATGAAGGAACCTTAAAGGCCAACCAGGTCAACCCTGTCATTTTACAAATGAGGCTCAGCTAGGGGCCAGCAGGATTAAATGAACTGCTTAAGGTCAAACAGGTAGTAACGTCAAAGCCAGTCTTTTAACTTCAGGTCCCATGACTTTGAATTTAGTGGTCTTTACATTGAACCACACTGCCTCTTTTTTAAGCTATGAAAATATACTTTTAAAAAGACAGAAATAAATATGCTATGGCATCTTACTAACAACAACTTGTGTGTAAGACGGTGACATCAAAGACTGTTGTATGAAATGGAGGCCATTCAGCCATGTAACAAGATTTGGAGACAATAAACATCCCAGTTACTAAGTTCACATATAAATATATAAGAACCAGAAGCAGGCCTCCAGTACACAGGGTAGATACTCTATGAAGTATTTAAAGAAGGATAGTGCCAAGAATTGCACAAGTATAGAGAGGATACATTGCAAAGTGGAAGGAGTATCCACACTGATAAAAACTGCAGATACTGAAGTATAACATATAATATATATTTACATATACAAATAATACGAAGAGAGGCTTGCCATATATCAAGTGTTGGCTATCATAAGAAATTTAACTAGAGAGCAGCTTCCCCACCTTCCTCTTTTATATCTTTCTGGCCAAAATAGATGTGGAATTTGTACTGCTTGGGGCGTGGGGAGGGGGGGGAGAGAAGCAGCATTTTTTCTAAGCTATCTACTCATCTTGTCACTGCTGTTACTGTAAGAATTTATAGATATATCTCCCATTGGGGCCACCTTTTTTTCCCCTCCCTATGAACTGCAACTATGATAGACAGCACTATAGCAGGAAAGCAATGCAAGGTCAAGTGTTGATGTCTAACCACCAGCCCTGCCAACATAATTCATAAAAGAAATAGATAGGAAGCTGTAGCAACATTACTACTGCTGAAAGGAAAAGTTAGACTTTAAAGAATGAAACCTCAATTGGTTTTTCCTTTTAATTCAGCACCAAGGAGACCAATTAATGTAAAGTAATACAAAGCTTAAAGAAAAGTGTCTAATTTTTTGTGTAATGGTTTGAAAATTAATAATTCTCTTTCAGCACATGCTCCTTTTGATTATGGTTCAGCAGAACTAGCACTAGCATGAGTCAGAAAACTTAGATTTTAGTTATAGCTTTACCACAAGTTAGCTATGAGACCTTAGGCAAATCAATTAATCTGAGTACCTTTTTACTAATCTGTAAAATGGGTACAACAGCTGCCCAGCCCAACTTGAGAGCTTTTCATAGGCTCTACATACAGTGCCTTGAGAAAACATTATTCAAATGTAAAGTCTTATTATTCCATAATGTCTATTATGGTTCTACTAATCTTCCTGCAATAGTTGACAAAGGATTGCAAAAAAATTAGCTTTCCTATGAACACTCTGACTATAACTTTACACTAAAGCAGCTTAAAAATTGGAGATAATCTTAACTATTCAATTTTACTTTTAAGCTCACCCATGTTACCATAAGACTATTCGCTCAGGATAAAATTGAATTTACTATGCCAAAAAAACTTTCCAAAATTTGAATATGTATTAGTTTAATATGTATTAATACTCATCTCTTTATTTTCAGCCAGCAGGTCTGTGTTTTCCAAGTTCAGATCTGCCCGCCATCAACTCTTCCCACCCATTCCCCCAAAAAAACCTGCCTTCATTTTTTGTCTCTCCTAGTTCTAGAAAATTCTGTTTTTCATCTGTACTGTCAATTCCATGAGGGCAAGGATCATTTGTGTCTTTCCCTTAATAAAGAGCAATACTTACCCAGATCCATTAGCATGAATTATTCAATTAGTATGTCATTTATCTAATGCCTCTGTGTGGTCAGCACAGAATGAGACAGTAAAAATAAGTATAAGTTACTTACTGTATAGTACTTACTTTACTTAAAGATGGCAAGCCAAGTAAATACTGCCTAATTTGGATAGGAGTATAGAAGAAAAAAAATCAAAACCTCAATGAGAAATTTGGTCATTTTAGTTCTATGTAAAAATAACCAGAATAAAGTAAGGAAACTGAAAATGGTGATCTTTTTTATATGACCTTTTTTTTTATGACTAAGTCTCTTTCCTGATTGAACTGTACTAAAACTAAGAACTAGCACTTCTGAGTTTCCAAAGGAAAAAATTACTAGCCATAGACTTTTTATAGTTGGAAAGGACTTTAAACTTCATCTAATATAACCCCTTCATTTTACAGCTGAGAAAACTGAGACCATATGACCCTATGTGAACTTGTAGAGCTGAGACTAAAATCCCAGTCTCCCAGTTCAAAGTTCTTTTCTACTACAGAACTACAGAATAAATGTTTAGATTGTATGTATACATGTGGGGGGGGTACAGGATGATAAAAATTTTCAAACAGACAAAATTAATTTAGTTCCTAATCCACACTGGAATATAAATCCATGGTACTTTTACTAAATAGATTAAACACTTTCATAAAACTTGAAAATGTTTTGGTTCATAGGCAGAAAAAGTCAAAACACCTGAGTCCAAACAGATAAATTTACTATCCCAGATAAGTCTGAGTTAATCATACAAACACTGTGTCATTTCTAGGCACCTAGGACATAAACTTCTGATGATGAAAGTTACAGAAATTGGAACCAAAATAAACTAAAAGGGTTACTATATCACCTAGTCTACATTCTTAAGGTCAAAGACATGTTAAAATAAATGGAGTTTTAGTATAACCCACACGGGGGAATGGGGGGCTGTGCAAAATGGACAGATTATTTTATGCTTCAACCTCTTAAATTACTGAAAGACAAACTTCTCTATTTTTCCACCATGACCCATAGGAAAAATCTCATCATCTTGTAAGACTTATTAGAGGGTGGGTCCATAAACTCCAAAAACTCCAAATCTCCTTTTAAGGTTTAGAGCTCAGTTAAGAACATGTCATTAATCACCTGGCTGCACTACTCTGGGACCTCTCTGACTTTTCCACCATGCCCCTGACTAAGGTACCTTCCCCCCTCTCTCCTCTTTTCAGTTTCTTTCTGTGTTTTGTCTTCTCTCATTAGATTGTAAAAGCTCCTTGAGGGCAAGACTTGTTCTTTTTTAGTATTTGTATCCCCAGTGCTTAGCAAAGAGCAAGGCACACAGCACATGTTTAATAAATGTTTACTGAGTTTTGAGGGAAAGATGTTTCAGCATGAAAACAAAGTAGCACAAAAAGCAGTATCTGGGCAGACTCTACTTGACAGCTTTCTGTTTTAACCCTTCACCAAAGAAAAGAAAAGAAAACCTAAAAAAAACAAAAAAAAAACCCACCACAAATGAAAGTTGGGATTCAGTTCAAATGTCTAATTAGACATGCCAATAAAAAGTTGTCTTTGCATTAACGTCAAGCAAAAGAAGTCACTTTTTTGTTCCACTATAATAGAAAGACTTCGGTCCTTAGTGAATTCAGTGCCCAGAAGAAGGTTCTGAGAATCTGAAAGAGTGCAGGGAGAAAGGAACAGAGGGATGAATAAAAAGGATGTTGGGAAAGCTAGGTGCCAAAGTGGATAGAGTACTGGGCCTTAAGTCAGGAAAACTTGAGTACAAATTAGGCCTCAGACATTTACTAGCTGTGTGACCCTAGGCAAGTCCTTGTTTGCCTCAGTTTCCTCATCTATAAAGTGAACTGGAAAAGCAAATGGCAAACCACTCCTGTATCTTTGCCAAGAAAACCCCAAAAGGGGTCACAAAGAGTCAGACGTGACTGAACAACAATAACAACAAAAGTACCTTTCGGAACACTAGCTGGGGAAGCAAAGTGTCCAATCTGGCCTAAGAAGAGCTTGGAAGAAAAATCTAAACTAGCTATACTGCTAAAGCCCAGAAGGGGGAAGCAGGAATCCTGAGAAGCTTGAGTGAGTCCCAATAATTATAACAGTTGACATTTATAAAAACAGGTGGGTAGGTAAGTGCTACTCTTCTCTCCCATTTCACAGCTGAAGAAACCGAGGCTCAAAATCGTTAAGTGACTTGGCCCAGGTTTACACAAGTAGCAAGTGACTGCTTTGAAATTTTAACATGGGGTCGCACGACTCCAAATCTATCTATCCAGTACAACTAGACTAGGAGGGAGTGTGTACGTGGTAATGGGGGGGGGGGGTAGAGAGTTCAAGGATCGAAACAGGAAGAGACACGGGTGCAAGGAGGGTTTTAAATAGTCGGCAGCCTGAACGGGGAACGCGGTGAGGGGTGTCTTGGACAGCAAGGGTACGGAAGGATCTTGGGGCTAGGGATTTCAGTAACAAGGGAGGGGACGGTCTCTCGTGGGGGGAGGGGAACGGTGCGGGAAGGAAAAGATGCCCCAGACCCAGGGGCACGACAAGCGGATAGAGGGATGGGGGTTGGGGGCTGGAGGAGGTCCTGGCCTGGGGAAAACCAGACCGGGCTCTGGGAAGAAATGCTCGTTCCGACCCAGTGAGAAGGCGCTCCAAGGCAGGCCCGGCCGATGCGAGCCGAGGCCCGCGCTCGGGGACTTACGGCCGGCCCGGGGAAGGGGGTCAGGGCTGGGCCCCGGGAAGGGGCTGCTCAGGGTCGCGGTGAGGTTACCTGGAGGAACCGAAGGCGGCAGGGGGGCTCCGCCGGACTGAGGGCTGGGGCAGGGGGGGTCGGAGCCTCCAAAGCCGCCGGAGCCCGAGGAGGCGAGGAGTCTCTGGAGGAGCCTCGGTGGCCGCGGTCCTCACATATACACTGCAGCCGCCATCTTCCGGCTACGTTGCAGTTTGCAAGGCATTGTGGGTAGGCTCTGGACAGAAGGGCGGGATAGAGGGAGGGAAGAGAGGAAGGGGGGAGAAGGAGGAAGGGGAGGAGGAAGAAGAGGAGGAGGATGAGAGGGAGAAAGGGGAAGGGGGGGAAGAGAAGGGGGAGTAGGAAGGATGGTGAGTGGGGGCACAGGGCTACTTCCGCGTTTACCCTGTCCGTCCCAGGACGTGATCCTGTCACGCCCCTCTACGCACGCCACGCTGTTGCCATGGAAAAGGGAGGCTTCTCCATCTCTTTCTCCCTCCTCACCCCTTCCCCCTCCCTCTTTCCTCTCTCTTCCACCCCCACCTCCCACCTCCTCCTTTACGCTTCCACACCTCCTTATCCTTACCGGTAAAGGGAACGTGAGGTCAAAGGGACATTGGAGGGCATCTGAGTCAACTTCTTGTCACGGGGTCAAGGGAAGGGCACGTGGGGAGAGGCCACTAGGTGGCGCAATGGAGAGAGAGAGAGAGCCGGACCCGGAATTGGTAAAACTTGAAGTGGAATCAACCTCAGATAGGACCAGCATTGTTATTCCCATTATACAGATGAGGAATTTGGAGTCCAGAAGGGTTGTCATCTGTTCATTCGAACATCATTTCAATCAATCAATTAAACAAAATAACAAATGTGTATTAAGTCCTTACTATGTGCCAAGCACATAACTAGGCACTGGGATTAAAGACAAAAATGAAACAGTCCCTGCCCACAAAATGTTTGCATTTAATCAATTGAACAACATGTATACGTATAAGCAAATACAAGCAGTTGGGAAAGGCCTTGTGGTTCAGATGACGTGATTTGTGCATATATACATATATATACATACACACACAAACATACACATACATCCCTCCAAGTCATACTCCACAAGATATCAAAGGGATATATAATATGAATTATTATAATATATTATGACATAATGTATATAATTATATATAATATATAATATGAAATACAAACCATGCTGGTTCAGGCCCTCATCACCTCTCATCTGGAATATTACGATAGCCTCCTCATTGGTTTTATTCTGTTACTCAGCTTCTAATCTGTAATCCACACAGGCATCAAACTTGTGTGTATATAATTTATGTGCTGTTATATAAGACACATACATAATTTACATGGATGTTATAAATATAAGATTATATATATATATATATATGTATGTGTGTGTGTGTGTGTGTGTACCAGCATGGTGGCTATATAAGGAGAGAGAAGGGGACAGATGTGAAAGGTGTTGTGATAGTAGGACTATTATCTGAATCCATGTTTCCTGACTTCAAGCCCACATTCTTTCCATTGCACCAAGCTGTCTGCTGACTAGCCATGGACAGGGAAGCATTTTTTTCCTATAGAAACAGAGCCAGGACACCACTACCACTGTATGGAGCTCAGCAGACCTTCAGGAATGGCTTCACCTGAGTTTGTCCTAGTACTAAGGAGACTTCTGTCCTATCTTTTAGCATCTATAACCAGAGGGAGAAAAACATGAATAAATGAACTTGTAATTGTTTCATTTTTTCATACATAGAAGTGTGGCATGGTGGAAAGAGTGCTATACCTGGTATCAAGAGAGACTTGATTTAAATCCAGGTTCAGATGTTTATTAGTTGTGTGATTTTGGGCAAGTCATCTTGCCTATTTGAACCTTAGTTTCCCCATCTGTAAAGTGAGGATAACATATTTATACTACCTACTTTGCAGGGTTGGTGTGAGAATAACACATAGTAATGCTTAAAAGACTGTATAATTTTGGGTCGTAATTATTCATTCTGTTTTCCCCAAAGCCATTTGATTATATGGGTACAGTAAAACCTATGTTCAATTTGATTCAGCAAATAATGAGCAGCTATTCAGCCACTGTTCCCAGCCCTATGCTGGAACGGGTAGGGGAGAAGAAATAAAACAATTATACATTGGTCTTGCCTTTTAAAAGAGCACACAATTTAGTAGGAGAGATTGAAAAGGTCACAAGTAACTACAATAAAAAAAATAAGTTATATGGGTGTTAGCAATATCAGCACCATGGTCAGTAATAGTGGCAAAACAGAGGAGTTTGCTATTTTATTTAGGTGGTGAACAGCACAAGGGTGGGAGTAGGTAAGCAGCTTTAAACCATCATTATGGTAAGTGCTGAGGCAGCATTTTTTTTTCTCATAGAGGCCTTTGATTTCAGTAGTGTGGGGAATTCCCTGTGAAGACATTCTTTCTGTCAATGTAGATCTATCATTGTTCTATAATTTATAGTCCTGAGAAGTTGCCTAGGGCACTGTTAATTTAAGTGATCCAGGGAAACATGCCATAGTGAGACTTGAAGCCAGGTATCCTCACCTCGAAGACTAAATCCCTATCCAATACACTGCAGCATTACTGGTGGTGTTGAAGAGGAAAGGTTACTGCAAGGCCTGTACTGTTAATTAGTTTGGCTTTTTTGTCAGTGTAAATTTTTCTTGGAGTGAAAGATACAGGTGAAGAGGGACTTCTCTGACATGAATGTGCCTTTGTGCTTCTTCCTTGGTGCATTAGCCCTCAGGGAAGCAGTTAAGGGGTGGGGGGAGAAGGAAGAAAGGAGAGGGAGGAAGGTTAGAGAGAGAGAGAGAGAGAGAGAGAGAGAGAGAGAGAAATTGAAATTGTGTTTCTCTGCCCCTTCTTCAGATGTCTGCTCTCTCATTATAGTGTTTAGCATTGTCTTCATATGCAAGGGTTGTGTCTTTGATGTAGAGATCTTTCAGTGATGGCCTTGGTTATACCATACATCATATGCATTATGTGTTTTTTTTAAAGGCAATTGGGGTTAAGTGACTTGCCCAGGGTCACACAGCTAGTAAGTGTGAAGTGTTTGGTCTGAGGCTGGATTTGAACTCAGGTCCTCCTGACTTCAGGGTCAGTGCTCTATCCACTGCACCACCTAGCTGCCCCCATGCATTATATGTTATAAGTATATACATTATACATTATATATTGTATACATTTGGTTGCATTTCTATTAGAACACATGTGGTAAGAAATTGGTTTTGAGACTCCATCCCCATAGCTTTGAATATGGTTTGAGAGTCCAGACAAAACAACAGAGAAGGTGCAAAGAGCTATGGGGGGAAATGCTAAAAGAGTACACGAAGCTAGAAAGTTCAGTAATATTAGAGTGTGCGTGTGTGTTTAACCAGGAGATTCCTGGTCTCAACAATTTATGCACACACTCACATTGCCCACTACCACCTGTAATAGTAAATTAATGCTCATAGAGTAGAATGGGAAGACATAGCTGGTATTGCTGAAATTTGACAAATTTAATAAAATTAAATTACTAATTTGATAATCTTGTTAAAAAAAAAACCCTGCCTTCAGAAGTACAAGACCAGGGAGGCATGGTTAGATAACACTTTGCCTAAAAAAAGATCTACAATTTAGAAAAATGAGGCATCTTTTGGAAAGACTTAGTGGGCTGCAAGCTCAATATGAGTCAATGGTGTGATGTAGCAGCCAAAAAAGCTAAAACTGTCTTGGGATGAATTATGTGAGGCACAAATTACAGGGTTATGGAGGTGCTTCTGTATTCTTCAACTCTTGTTTAGACTCCATCTGGAGTGGTAAGATAGAAATAAACTAGAGAGTGTCCAGAGAGGAAGGCAACCCATGAACGGTCTCAGGTTTATACTTTTTGGAGATTGGTTAAAGGGATTAGAGACATTTAGCCTGGAGAAATGATCACTTAGTAGGGAAATGAAAACTAGCTTTATTTGAAAGGCTATCACCCCTTGAGATGGCTTACAATTTTTCTGTTTGACTTCAAAGGGCAGAACGAGGAACCATGAGTGGAAGTTGGAGAAACAAATTTTGATATGATATAATGAAAAACTTCTTAACAACCAGAGTTATCCAAACTCTAATGATGGATAATAATGTTTATTGGGTTTTTTTGAGTTGTTAAAAAATGGGAATCTAAAGAGGTGCCTATAAATTGGAGAATTGTATAATAAATTATGGTTTATAAACACGATAGGATATGATTTGTTGAACTCATGTAGTTTTAATGATCAAAAGCAATTCCAGAAGACTGATGGTACAACATGCTATACACCTCCTGAAAGAGAAGGACTCATAGTAGAAAATGAGATAATTTTTTTTGGATATGGCCGATGTGGAAAGTTTTGATTTACTATGTTTGTAATAAGGTTAACTTTTCTTGTGATCTTAATTGATATGTGAGATGGGAGGGTAAGAAGTAGATTTTGGCTGATTGAAACAAATGATATATATTTCTTAAAATAGTCAGTTATCTAAAAGTAGAATGAACTGCCTCGGAGAGTGATGCATTCACCCTTACTGAAGGTCTGCAAGCAAAAACTTGGATGTCTTTTTGTTTGTTGATTGTTTTTTGGAAGTTTTAATTTTTTTTTTCCAATTACATGTAAAGACAATTCTTTACATTTGTTTTTAAAGTTTTGAGTTTCAAATTCTCTCCCTCCCTCCTCCCCCTCTCCTTGAGAAGGCAAGCAATGTGATATAAATTATCTATATTAGCCATGTTGTGAGAAAAAAAACAGACAAAAAAACCCCAAGAAAAATAGGAAAGGTTTTTTTTAAATCTGCTTCGATCTTGCATTCAGACTCTGTCAGTTCTTTCTCTGGAGGTGAATAGCATTTTTTCATCATAAGTCTTTCAGAATTGTCTGGGATCATTGTATTGCTGAGAAAAGCTAAGTCATTCACAGTTGATCATCATACAATATTGCTGTTAGTATGTACACTGTTCTCCTAGTTCTGCTCATTTTACTTTGCATCCATTCATGTAAGTCTTCCCAGGTTTTTCTGAAAGCATCCTGTTGGAAAGAATGTAATTTCTACCACCTTACTCCCTGGCAATCTTCATATCATCATGTCCCCTCCCCCCCCCAATATAGCACTTCTGCACTCACACTAGAACCCTAGTTTTATGCCTGGTAATCATTCACCTCATGTAGCCTGGACACATATCCACCATGCTGTTTCATGGCAATATTCCTGCCTCGCTCTTCATCTGCCTTCATCTCTTTCCAACTCTAACTCCAAGAACAGTAATCAAACTAAAATTACCATTCCTAGAAAGGACATGTCAATCAATTGCCCTCCGACCACAACACTCCTCCCTTGATACCACTCTTTTATGTATATTGTCTTATTA